GCGAGCCGCCGCTTCGGGGGCGTCCGCCCTTCCCGCCCGCTTGCTCCCACCCGCGCGGCCGACGGGTCGCTCCTTCCCAAGGCGGCGTTAAGTCCCCGGACAGCCGCAAGCCTCCCTCTCGGCTGAGCACGGAGCCCCTCTCCTGGCCCTCATGCCCTTGGGGGGGACGCCTCTGACCCTGTCTTCTCCACTGGGGGGCCATGCGGGCGAGGGGCCTGGGCCCTGGACCCCCGCCCCCACCGCTCCCCCTGCAGAGGAGGCGCCCGTGCGCTACCCTGGGAGGCGGTGGGATGCGCAGTGGGTGTTTCTGTGAGGCTGACCCCCGCACTCTCGGAAGGACCTGATCATCTTCCCCGATGACTGCGAGTTCAAGCGCGTGCCGCAGTGCCCCAGCGGGAGGGTCTACGTGCTCAAGTTCAAGGCAGGGTCCAAACGCCTCTTCTTTTGGATGCAGGTGCGTGGAGGGTTGGGATCGTGTTTCTCTCTTGCAGAACCGGCTCGCCCCGTGGCGGGTTCACTTTCCCAAACGCCTGATGCTCACTGAGCGCCCGACCCTAAGAATTCCTGGGTCTCCCTGTGGGGGTGGGGCGGGGGCGCTGGAGCAGGGCCTCTTCCAGAGTTGGGACACCTGCGGCTGGGCTCCTGGTGCCCTTGCAAGATCCGGAACTCCTGGCACCCGGACAAGAGTGCGTTCTGGACGGACCCCAGTGTCGCTCTGCTGTCTGCGCCCCCCGCCCCGTCGTGAGCACCGCGGAGCCGGAGCAGGGCTGACGTGTGTTCTCCTTGCTGTGTTCACAAAGCGACGTGACCTTTCGCAAGCTCTTCTAAGCCCTGCCTTCCCCAGCCTTGCCCGTCGCTTGCTCTGGGGGTCTTTGGGGGTCAGCGTGCCAGGGCTCCCCCGCCCGCCGGCCGCTGGGCTTGTCTGGTCGTGGTGTTGCCGCAGCGGGTTAGAGTGACTCTGAGCTGAGGCTGTTTCCCGGGTGGGGGGTGGGGGGCGTCTCTGCTGACACCCTGAAGCGCACGTGTTCAGAGTGGGTAATTGGGGGCCTTCGCAGACAGATGTTTCCAGTTTCCTTCCGTGGAGGTTGGCCCCGCTGCCCTCCCCAGCACGTACCAGGGCAGGGCAGGAGCGGTTTCTCCCGCGGGGCGGACAGGCTGTGCTGCAGACGCTGGTCTCTGCGCACGCGGTGAGGGAGCCGCGTGGACAAGCAGGCTGGGCGGGTGCAGTGCGCAGGGGTGAGACTTGCAGGCACGGGGAGGGGCCGAGCTTGTTTCTCCGGGTTCTCCCAGGAAACGTTCCGCCCGCTCTATCTTGCCTGGTTTTGCTCGCCTGCCCTGCCGCCTTCTGCTCTGGGCACGGGGGACACTGTATTGTCCCACTTCTGTGTTCCCGGCCCCCAGCAGACCCACAGCACATGCTCAGTTGTGGTGCTTCATCTCGTGCTTCTGGGGGCACTTACGGGCCGGTGCTCCCCGAGGACGGCCTACACCCCGCGCCTGCCAGCTGTGCTTCCTGGGGCTTCCGGCGAGCCCCAAAGGGCCACGGGCGGGGTGGTTCGTGGGCAGCGGTGACAGAAGGGTTATGTCACTGTGTTACGCTCCTACACGAGGTGCAGGAGGGCTTCGTGGCTTTTAGGCTGTTGTGTGAAGCACTGAGTCCCGGGCGTTCAGAAGGCATCGTTGTGCGCGCCCGGGGGCTCTCAGTGCCTCGTCTCCGCCCACCCAGTGAGTGTGGCCGCAGCACCGCGACCCTGACGGGCAGCCGTTCCCGTCGGCCCTGCCGGGTCCTCGGTGCCGTGCGGCTGTGGACGGGGCCCGCGTTGCTGGCGGCGGACGGCTCCCTCGCAGCCGTGGTCCTGTCCTCCCCCTGCAGGAGCCCAAGACGGACCAGGATGAGGAGCACTGCCGGAAGGTCAACGAATACCTGAACAACCCTCCGATGCCGGGCGCGCTGGGGGCAAGCGGGAGTGGAGGCCACGAGCTCTCCGCGCTGGGCGGTAGGCGTCCCCTTCCGGAACGTGCTGGCGCATCAGTGCCCGCGGGGGACGTGTGCTCCCGAGAATGCGCGCTGGTCGTTGTCCTTGCTCGGTCTCCGTTCTCGTCTCGTACGGAGCTGCTGTGAGCGCACGCGCAGCGGGGACGGGGCAGAGGCAGAGGGAGCGGCCGACCCCCGCTGGGCAGGGAGCCTGATGCAGGACTTGATCCCAGGACCCTGAGATCGTGACCTGGGCTGAAGGCAGACGCAACCCACTGAGCCCCTGTGGTTTTTACGTGGAGACGGAGGTGTCCGAGTTAGAAGCCCCTTAGTCGCCCCAAGTCCAAGTCTCCGTCCAGCTTCCGGATATAAAGCTGTGTGCCCCGCCGTGTTGTCTCATCCCAGGCGCTGCTGTGAGGGCGGGGGACGCTGAAGGGCGGGCTCACGGGGCACGTGGTCTCAGCCAGGGGCGCTGAGCCTCCCCGTGGCCCCGAGTCTGAGCGCGTCCTGTCCTGCAGGCGAGGGCGGCTTGCAGAGCCTGCTGGGGAACATGAGCCACAGCCAGCTCATGCAGCTCATCGGGCCCGCCGGCCTCGGAGGACTGGGTAAGCCCCGCGTGCAGACCGCACGGCCTCTGGTGAGCGTGGCTTTGGGATGGGCGTGTTTCCTTCTCCGTGGTTCTCAGTGACCGCTGCAAACGTCTGTCCCTGGGCCGGGCCCGTGTGCCCTGTGGTTTGAGCTGGGAGCTGGTCCGCAGTGAGGACCTCGCTCTGTACTCGAGGGGCCTACAGGTGGCCTGGGAGCGGGGCTCCTGCCGGGGCCCTCTGCTCGGGTTCCCCTCCGGGGGGCTTGCCCGCTGCCGCCGCCTCTGCGCTGGGACGGCTGCTGCTTGGGCGGAAGGGGACCCTCGCTACTCTGTCCGGTGCAGACTGCGTGTTGCCTTGGACCTAAGTGCGTCGTTAGTGGGACGGGAGACAGAAGCGCTGTGACGCGTGGAATAAGCTGCTAGAATGCTGTGGCCCCCGCAGTCACGGCTCTGGCACCCTGGCCCACTGTGGTCCCCGTTCTCCCCTGCCTGTCCCTTGGCGTTAGTGTAGGATAGCTGGCAGGGAGAGGTGGGCTCTTGGGGACGGTGTGGCAGCTGAGCTCATGTGTCCTTGCAGGTGGGCTGGGGGCCCTGACCGGGCCGGGCCTGGCCAGCCTCCTGGGGAGCGGAGGGCCTCCAGCCAGCAGCTCCTCATCCAGGTGAGCCTAGCCCCCACCCTACGCCCCCTGCGTGCCACCGGGGGTCCCATCCTTCAGGGTGACTGGACATAGGAGATGCAGAAGGACGGAAGAGACGCCTGGAAAGGGACCTTTTCGGGGTCCAGACTGTTCGGATCCCTGGCGGTTCGAGGACCGCTGCTGCAGGAGCGACGCGCCGTGGGCACCTCTGGGGTGCGTGGTCGCTCCATCGCTGCCCTCGCTCTCCCCAGCTCCCGGAGCCAGTCAGCAGCCGTCACCCCGTCCTCCACCACCTCTTCTACCCGAGCCACCCCAGCCCCCTCCGCTCCAGCAGCTGCCTCGGTGACCAGCCCGAGCCCCGCACCCAGTTCAGGTAACGGAACCAGCACGGCAGCCAGCCCGACCCAGCCCATCCAGCTGAGCGACCTTCAGAGCATTCTAGCTACGATGAACGTGCCGGCCGGGCCAGGAGGCGGCCAGCAAGGTAACGCACACGCTGCTCGGCTCCAGGCTGGGGGTGAAGGGGCCTGCTGCCCCCTTCCTGCGCGCTCGCTGCCTCCCTGAGGTGGGCCCAGCTCGTCTCCAGGCTGAGCCGCTGCTCCCTCGCCTCACCTGCCCGACGATGCCACGGCTTGGGCGTCTGCGGGTTGGCCTCGGGCCGCTGATGGCTGTGTGCTTACGCCTCAGTGGACCTGGCCAGCGTTCTGACGCCCGAGATCATGGCACCTATCCTCGCCAACGCGGACGTCCAGGAGCGCCTGCTGCCCTACCTGCCCTCTGGGGAGTCACTGCCGCAGACGGCAGAGGAGATCCAGAACACGCTGACCTCGCCCCAGTTCCAGCAGGTAGATGCTGTGGCCTGGGTGCCCCCTGCTGTGTGCTCAGTGGCAGGGGACACGGCTCACCTTCCCCGTGCTTCCCTGTCACCAAGTGTCCCTGCACCTGGCCCAGGCACCTCCCCCCCCCCCCCCCCCCCCGTTCCCCTGGGGCCTTTGCCAAGTGTGTGCTCAGGGGGATCTGGCTTCCCTTTGCAGGCTCTGGGCATGTTCAGCGCCGCCTTGGCCTCTGGGCAGCTGGGCCCCCTCATGTGCCAGTTTGGCCTGCCTGCAGAGGCCGTGGAGGCCGCCAACAAGGGCGGTAAGTGCCTGTCCCCCTGCCCCCTCCCTACCCCACGTGGCCAAGGCAGAGTCCCTTTCTCTCTCTCGTAGTTAAAAGGCTTCCCTGTTTGCACAGAATAGGGCTTGCTGGCTTGGTCATGGCGTGTCGGTGGTCTTGGGCCTAGTCTTGAAATTTTCATCGTCCCCTTTGGTTAGCAGTTCCAGGCCAGGGTCTAGAAAGGTCGCCTTGTGTTTTTAAATGCATTTTAGATGTGGAAGCGTTTGCCAAAGCTATGCAGAACAGTGCCAGACCCGAGCAGGAGGGTGACGGGAAGGACAAGAAGGACGAAGAGGAAGACATGAGCTTAGATTAATTAGCTGCTGTCCCCAGGGGGTCGGGATTCGTGGCTGGCGGCCTCAGTGATGGGGCTTGGGGCGCGGCGCATGCCCTCAGCTCCGTTCCGGCTTGCTGAGAAATAAAGGTCTTGTCTTTTACCTGCCACTTGTGGTTGTCCTGTGTGCCCCCCGGGGGAGCTGGTATGAGGGCGGCCCCCTGGGCAGGTGGCTGCCCCACGAGCACGGCCGGGGTCGTGCTCGGTCTCTGCTCTGCTTTCACGTTCAAAGTCAGTACTCAGTTACGCAAGATGTTTTTTAATTTTCAGGGAGCAGGACAGGTTCCTCACGTCAGGAAACATTGGGGGAAGGGAAATGTCAGCACGAAACCGAAAGCAAAAGGACCAAAAGCCTCAGTTTGCAACGTTAGGTAGGACTTACACCGTCCTAGAGGGAAGTGTCATCACCCCCAGAATCTAGAGTCCGGACAGACTCGATGTGGAGCCGGCTGAGTGCGGGGGCTGGGGACTCTGCGAGGTGGGAGCCTGCCCGCCCGGGGCGGCCCTCCTGTGGACACTGGGCCAGGGCCCCTGAAGGTTCTCGGGCATGGCTGCTGGAGGGGCAGCTCACTACGGGGCTGGGCAGCCGCTGGCCCCCACTGCCCCCTGGATGCCCACAGAGCGAGGCCACGTGATGGGGGCCCCGTTCAGTGCCAGATTCCTCATGCAGCCGCGGTACGCTAGAGGCTCAGCCTGTGTGTTCATGGACTCTGGGGGAGGAGAAGATGGGGAGACAGGTCAGAGCAGAGGCCAGCGTCCCATTGCCCGCCCCCCCGCCTCAGTCTCCCTCGCTGCCCCATCACAGGAGGGTGGGAGGAGAGCAGGTGACCCTGGCACCTGGTCCCCAAGGAGCAGCCCCTGCCCCTAGGCAAGGCCGCCCTCACCAGGCAGGCCCCCGAGGTGCAGAGGTGACTGGGCACTGTCCGTGGAGGCCGCCAGCGTGGGGCCCCGGGTCCAGTTGCTCTGCGTGTCCACCTCCAGCTGCAGCACGTTCCCGCTTCTGGTCACTGTGGGCACAGGGTCCCCGTGACTGGGAGGGGCTGGCGGCTGTCTGCCATGCGGCTTGCACCACTGCCCCTCCTGAGCCCCTCCTGGGGGCTCTACTCAGCAGAAAAGCAGAGGTGGGGGGGGCTTACCTGCCAGTCGGTGCCATTGCCCATCACACAAGGCTGCAGCGCGTGTCACCCACGTGGAGAACTCCCCCTCGCCGTCGTCCGCCCGCAGTAGGACCTGGGCCGGGGGGGCGGGGCGGGGAGGTCAGGAGAGTCTCGCGACCCTCGGTCCCACCCTGCGGCCTCTGCCCCCTTGCCCTCCGCTTACCCGCTCGGCCTGTGCCTGCAGCTGCAGGTAGGGTGGTGCCAGGCCCCGGCCCAGGTGGAAGATGAGGCCAGCGGCCGTCCGAGGCCGCACCTCCAGCTCCAGGGCCGCAGGAGGCGGCGCGGTGTCTGTGAGGAGGGAGCTGTGAGGAGGGGCAGGGCTGTGGCGCTACCACTCCCGCCCCACTGAGGCAGGGGCACACCCGTGCCCTACAGACCTAGGGTGATGACACCCCCGCTGTCTGCAAAGAACAGGCCCTTCTCCAGGGGGCCTGAGAAGCATGGCGTGACCCCAACTGCCCGTGTGGGGGCCCCCAGGGGCCGCCCGTCCAGCCTCAGTCTTCTCACACAGCCACTGAAGCCAGAGCTGCCGGCAGCCGCCTGTGGGGACACAGATGGGCTGGTGTCAGGGGAGGTCCCAGGGGCCCAGGAGGGCCGTTGAGCAGGGGATGGGGTGCGGGGGGAGGTGGTTCAGGGTTGGGGGGTGACGTGGAGGAGGTTCTCACGGGGAGCCTTGCACTGAAGCCACTAGCTGGGAGGCCCCCCACGAAGAGAGTCTGGGGGGGGCTCCCTGCCCCCCGAGGCTGCTGGCCGGGCCCCTCCCGGTCCTGGGCCCAGACCCCATCTGTCACCAGCTGGATCCGAGTCTTTTCCCATCGCACAGACACCTGGGGGCAGGAGGGAGCACGTCAGGACGGGAGCTCCCAGGACCCGGCCCGTGCCCACTCAGCGACTCACCGTGTGCCACCGGCCAGCCCGTGAGCGCTGGCGGCTCTGGACGCGGAGCTGGGGCCCAGGGCCCTCCGTCTGAGCAACAAAGTGGCCGTGGCTCAAGCGCACAGCCAAGGAAGGGCCACTGGCCGTGCCGGGGACGGCAAGCAGCAGGAGTCCGCGGGGGGTGTGAGGGCGGACCAGCATCGAGATGTGGGACCTGGAAGCCAAGCGAGGCTGTCAGCCTGGGCGGCCCTTCTGCACCCTCCCCACCTGGCCTGGCCTTACCAGTTCCTGCGGGGCGCTGGGACATGGGCAAACTCCAGGTGACTGGACGGGGGGCCCCCAAACTGGTAGGCATCTCGGATGGTCCTGAGAGACCAGGGTGGGGTGCAGGCGGGGTCCTGGGGGGGCTGGCGGCTGCGTCGACCAGCCTGGGGGGAATCGGAAGGGACGCAGAACGCGTGGTGATGGCCTTCCGACCACACCTCTGCCCCACCTGGCACACCAGTGTCTGGGTCCCCCACCTTCCGTGCCGCTGCAGCCCTCAGTCCTCGAGGTGCCTGCCCCGGGGTCTGGGTGTGCGGGGCTGGGGCACAGCCTGAGCTCACGTTGACTTTCTCCCAGTCCTGCTGCAGGTCAAACACGCGTTGCGGCCCCAGCGGCCTGCAGACGGTGGCGGGTCAGCACTGGTGGGGTGGGGGGCGTGCCGGGCCACACCCCCTATGCCCCCTTCCCCCAGGCCTGTCCCCCGCCCCCCGCCGGCTCACCGCAGCACAAATACATTGCTGATGCAGCCAGTGAAGTTGAAGTAGTCACCGGACTTAGACCAGCCTCCCAAATAGAGCCGGTTCTTCCCATGCGTGTCCTGGGGCCTGGGGGGGGGCCCCCTGGTGGGGCTTCATCTGCTGAAGCTGGTCGTCCACATAGAGCCACACCCTGCAAGGACAGCAACGCTTTCCCCTGCCCTGCGCCATCCGCCCCAGTGCTGCCGCCTCCCGGTCCCTGGACACCGCTGCCAGGGGCCCAGTGGGCTAGGCTCACCCCGAGGCGTTGCTGTAGAAAGCCACGTAATGGGGGGCACCATCGGCAAAGCTCGCTTGGGTCTTCACCTCTGTCCTCAGCAGCCGGAGTGTCACCCGGCCCTGCTGCAGGGACACTTGGTATGGCCCATCCTGGGGACAGGGGCCAGGTCAGGGGAGCAGGCCAGGGCCTGCACTCCCGTCCTCTCACCCCCAAAGCCCCACGCTGCTTGCCAGGAGCGGGGGCGCACGCACCAGGAATTCTGCGAGGTAGAGCAGACCGACATCCTGGGTGCTGCGGAAGCCAAAGCCGGAGTAGATGTGGCCCGTGATGGGGGGGACATCAGGGAGCCCCAGGGACAGGTAGCCGTCACCGTGGAAAGTCATGGCCCGTCCCACCTAGAGGAGGGTGACTGTGAGGGCCCACGACACAGGCCTGGAATGGGGCTGCTGGCCAGGGCGGGCCGGGGCTCACCAGCAGGTCGGCAGTGCAGCCCGAGCTGACGCCCGTCGTGTTCAGCCTCTTGAGGTCCACGTACTTGCCCTGAGCCTTGATGCCCTTGACGCATCCGCGGATCGAGCCTCCGGAGGGGAAGAGCAGCCGCAGGCTGCAGGGGACCCACATCAGGACCCGCCGCCGCAGCCGCCGCCTCCCGGGTGCCCGCCCGCTCCTGGCCGGCCGCTCCCAGACTCACCTTGGGGGCAGCTGGTCGGGCGGCACGCCCCCGAGGTAGTAGGCGCTCGCCAGCTCCAGCGTGCTGCTGTGGTCCACGCTGAACACGTTGTTCCTCTCCACGCGCACCAGCACGCGGCTGACACGGCCACGGCTCCCCCCCAGCAGGAACACTTGGATCTGCGAGGCGCCCGCAGGCCCCGGCTTGAGGGTGAGCCGTGCGTCCCACAGGTCCTCCCGGAGCCCCTGAGCCCTCCCCCGAGCCCAGCCTCACCGCCTTGCTGGCCGTGGTCATGTTCAGCAGACTGGCGTCCACCCCCGCGTTCCGCGTGGCCTCCATCAGGCCTGCGCCGAAGTCATAGAGGAGGAGCAGGGAGCCCTTCCGCACGGCCAGGCACAGGAACTGGTCCTGGGGGGAGGGGCAGGTCAGTACGGGGTGGTGGGGGCGCTGCGGGGGGCTGTGCTGGGGCCGGGCGGCCTGCGTGCCTGGTGCTGCATGAAGAAGACGATGCCACTGGAGGACACGAGCCGCAGCTCCTGCTCGAAGCGCTTGGTTGTGCCCATCTGACTCTCCACGCTGATGCGCGCGAAGCCGGAGCCGTCCAGGTGGGAGCCGTCCGTGAGCCACGGGTCCCCAGTCGACTTGGAGCTGCAGGTCAGAGGTCAGAGCAGTCAGCCAAGAGCCGGCCAGGGCACGACGAGGGCCCGGCCCCGGCTGCACGTACCGGGCACAGGGCCTGTCCGTGGCGGTGTCCAGCTGGAAGGTCTCCTCAAAGTTGTAGAGGCTCAGCACCTCCTCGTTGAGCGCGTCCATTTCGATGCAGCCCAGGTAGCCAGGGAGGCGGAGGGGTTCGGGGGGCTGCAGGCACAGAGCACAGTCAGGGCTTCTCGCCCCCAGGATAGACCCCAGGGAGGGCGCTCAGTGGGCAGCCAGACACAGAGCAGGACCTCCTGGGACCAGAGTGCAGGGCCGCCCCCCCACCCGCCACGCCAGGCTCACCGTGAAGTGGCTGGGGTAGCCCCCCACGTAGAAGACAAAGTCGTCAGGCCGCAGACTGAGCAGCCCCTCGACCCCAGGGGCCACTGTGTCCCCCTTGGTCTCATGGAGCATCTGCTTCTCCACCGTGACAGACATGTGGCCAAACTGGAGGGTCCTGAAGGCAGAGTGGGGGGTGAGGAGTGGATCCCGTCCGGCGGTGGAGGGAGCCCAGGGGGCCAGATCACCCACCTGTCGATGCTGACTGCTGCAAACTGCTCCCCGATGTCTTCGTCGACGCTGAGGGCTGCGGGGCCCGCCTCCCCCAGGCGGTACACCCAGTGTACCCTTTGGTTCCGCAGAGCCACGCCCATGTAGTCCCCGACAGCCTGCAGTGACAGGAGACTCAGCGTGACAGGCACCTAGCCCCGCCATGCCCGCCCAGCCCATCATGCCCGCCTGGTACCTGGCGGCTGCCCAGGTAGAGCACAAAGCGATCCCCGGGGGCCTGGCCGGACTCCGGGTTCGGACTCTGGAGGTAGAATTTGAGGGCGGTGTAGGCCGCAAGGTCGGAGAGGTCCCGGGGGGCACGTAGCCGCACCCCTGAGTGCCCATTGAACTTCATGGACACCTTGACCTGTGTGGGGGACACGTGGCTCATCAGTGTCCGCTGCCTGGTCTTCCAGATGCCCGCCGTCCCCCGGCACTTGAGCTCACCTTGCTGGCAGCCCCGCGGGCCTGGGCAATGAGCTCCCGCACGCGGCCGATGCTGGCGGACAGGGCCAGGCTGGCGTTGTGTGTGCCGCGGTTTTCCAGGAGGCTCAGCTTGGCGAGCAGCTGTGGGAGTGTCTTTTCCAGGGCGGACACTGCGGGGAGCGGGGGAGGGCGTGCCCCTGACAGCCTGTCCTCCCCCCGGCCCTAGCCACCCGCCGTTAGGGCTGTGGCACCCCGGCGCCCACCTGAGCGGCCCGTGTCGAGCACCGCCTGTCCCAGGTCCTGGCCCCGCAGGCCTCCGTACTGGTCTTGCCACTGCTGCAGGCGCTTGCGCATGTCCTGGATCCGCGACTGCACGCGGGTGGCCGCGGCCTGGGCGTCAGCGGCTACAGCCTTGGCGTGAGCGATCCGGCTTGTGTCGTCTGCGGCGGGCAGTGTGCAGGCGAGCTCAGAGGGACACAGGCGAAGACCGTCCTGGCTTCACCTGCCCTCGGGGGGGGGGGCACCAGCCCCGCCCTGACAAGCTCCAGCAATAGGGGCGCTTAGCACCCCACGGATCTCTCGAGAACCACAGGCAGCAGAGACACTACGTGTGTGTCCTGCCCTCCAACGAACAGCTCCTCCCGTGCCCTCCTTTTAGACCGCAGCCGGCCACCCCCACACCTGTCCCAGCTCTGCCATCTGTCCCGGGGCCCTGCCTGAGCCTCCACGGCCCCCAGGCCCAAGCTTGCTGGGATGTTCGACCTGGGTCGGGTGCGTCACCCCTCGCCCAGAGGCCTGCCCTGGGTCCTTGGCTCTGCCACGTGGGCCTCCGTGCTCCCACTCTCTTGTGCCCTCCAACCAGCCCCTCGGATGGCCTTCCTGGGGGACCGAGCAGGCCCAACGCCCCTCAGCCTCTGGGGATGAAATGTCCCTGCTGCACGCTCCCCATGGCCCCCCAAGCCCTCTTTCATTTCTCTCCAAAGCACCTCCTGCTCCCTTCCCACTTCCACTTGCTCCTTGGATCTATTTTGTGTAGTTTCCTGACAAGCAAGCAGCTTCTGGGGCTGGGGCTGCCCAGCACTCTGGATGGCACGGGTGTAGACACATCCCTGATCAGGGCCCCGCGGAGAGCCCTGGCTGGCACCCTGCTTGCAGGGGGAGGGAGGGTCCACCTTGGGACAAGCAGAAGACAGGGAGAGGGACGAGGACCAACGTACTGGTGTCCATGGCCAGCATGGCCTGTACCTCCTGGACTCGGGCTGCCAGCTGCTCCTTCTGGGCCTGGGCATCTCGGAGCTGGGTCCTGGTACCCTGGATGGCAGCCCACGCTGCGGGGGGAGGCAGCCTCAGCCCCAGGAGCCCCCACTCCCAGCGCACAGCCCACCTCGGCCCGCCTCACCAGGAAGGGACGAGGCCAACATGCTCACGGACGGAGACACCCAGACATGAGGGCCCTCACCGTGGGGAGGGCGGGAACCCCATGCAGATGTAACCACCCCATTCCACAGCTCACACAAGGAAGCTCAGGGGGGCCAGGCCACCACCCAGGGACCCCCAGCACTCCGAGGGCCGAGCAGCAGAGCGCGTGCCCCTTGCCACCAGCCAGTGCTTCCTCCTGCACCAGGCCCCCATCCGGACAGGAGAAAACCCTCCCTGGCCCCTCCACAGCCCCGGGGCCTGGCCCCAAGGCCCGGGTGGGCGTCGGGCCTCTGCAGAGCTCCCAGGGCAACGTGCTGAGCCGGTGGGAAGCGGGACCCCCATACAGGGCAGCTGTCACACTCCCACCCACCATCACCCCAGTGTGAACAGAGACAGCCCCCGGTACTCACCGCGGCCCAGC